AATGATTATAGCTAAGATGACTCAAATCAACAAAATCTCACAACTGTCAACACTTCCTCAGCTCACTAACTCGCTAGCGATCCACGGGTGTTGGTCTTCGTCACCACCGTAGTTTGTTGCGGGAGCAGCAGGTGCTTCCATTTCTGCTTCCGTCATGAAATCAGTCATCGTAGAGTGGAATTCTGCTCATGTAGTCTCGCTAGCTATAGCATATAGCATCCTGGGCATCACTGGGAATCTAAACACCGCGGCTTTGAGAGCACGTGTTTGCAATTGCGCATTAACGTGATTAACCAATGATTTAACTTGCAAGCTAGGACCACTGATTCACCAAACCTGCTTGTTGCAGTCTCTGCTCCACCACAGTCCCCGACGCTGGTCTCATGATTCATGTTGTTTCTAAAGATAGATTTGATTTTGTAGCGAGTAACGAAGGTTTCAGGGGAAATGTATCGGAGTAAAAGTAAAAGTCAACAGAAATATAAGTAGTAAAGTAAAGTACAGATATCCAAAAAAACGACCTCAGTACAGTGACGAAGTATTTCTACTTCGTTACTATACACCACTGGTTATTGCAAACATGCATAACTTTCTGATTTATCCACATTTCACGATAACACAAGTGTCATCCTGTCAAAATGCGTTAGTTTAACTCACAGAAATGTAATTAGCCTAAAACTATTTCGACAAAACACGTAACGTTGGACATACTGAGTGTCAGGATCCATTGTTTTCCCATTCTTCCTGCCGATGCCTCACGTCTTACTGAGGGTATCCTCAGTTTTCTTTGGTTCTGCAGGGTTCTCAGCCTGTGTTTGCGTCCCACCACACAGTCAATGCAGAGCGATGAATTCTCTTCCCCTCAACGACGTGACTTACAGTAAGTGCGCTCTGTCACTATGGCGAGCATGGCTGTCTTGTGTGAATGCTATCGGACTACAAAATACTTTGTATCACACGGTTAACAACGGACTTTCTCAGCTGACAGTCAGTAAAGAGTTCACAGCTCAAACTACAGGTTTTTGTTCAGATTGTCTTACGATTTAAAATGTGGGGCCTCAATCCAAATGACCTTTGCAGACCTGCACAGATTTCAAAATGTTAGGATTGTCATCTTATAATGGCCTCGCTGCATTAGTTCACTGTGTGTGTCTGTGTGTCTTGTTGTGCAGGTGTTGGGGATCAGAGCTGGTGGGGATAACCCTGGGATCTGAGTGAAAGCTGAGTGAAAGTTAATGGGATGGAGGGTCCTCAGAGGGCACGGAGGGAGAAAGGGGTCGTGACATTTAATCGTCCTGCCCCGACAGGCCAAGGCACTGACAGCGAGGTCGGGGGGGGTTAGAAATGGACCAAGGAGGACATGGGTGGGGCCGACGCACACAAAGAGCCTCTCAGTGCAGTGATCAGACTTGTCACCCAATAAGTCTCCCTGTAGCTCTCTCTCTCCTACGGCTTAACTCTCTGAAATACACCTGGAACATGACCCCGGGGCCACTGATGGCACCAGCTCACATACAATAGAGATCTAGGGGGGGAAATCCCTCTTGAAGGACACGTTTACCCCAATTTTTGAAGCTTAGACCCTTTAAAAAACAGTGAAGTCTGACAGAGACACTCAAACGCAGCAGCTCATTGACTCTGAAGTAAACATGTACATCATGATTCAGTCTAACCAACGCCGGTCGCCCGGACCAATCACGAAGCAGTTTGGCGTGGAGCCGCGGCACAACAGGAAGCCATCGCCATAAACATGAGCTATAAACACAGTAAACAAACAAGGAAAAACGAATGACAACGCTGCCACGCTGCTGATTAAAGGGCGAAGACGTTCGCCGAAGAGGTGTTCAGAAACACAACGTACACAAACAGCCAGTGATGCTAATCTCTGTGCGCAGGGAGAAAGGCAACAAATCAGGCTGAGCAGAGATGCTTTTAAAAGAACGTAATGTAGATAATGTGAGGACTGCATGATAGTTTCATTTCGACACAAGCATTCATCCATAAGTTGTGTGTTTTTCAGCAAACCACATCCACTGCTGAGCATTTAGAGTAAGTGGTTTGTTGGCGAAGAAAACTAAAAAAAACTCATCTGGCTTTACTTTGTGAACTTTTATTGTGAAATCTCCAGTTTTCCCTCTTAAGGGGAGACACTGCAGGAAGAGGTTTCATGGTGATATCTATGAGGTCATGTTGTGACCCTATTCACCTGTAGAGTCTTCTTAATGTGAGTGATGAAGTGGTGAAGTTTCATGGTGATATCTATGAGGTCATGTTGTGACCCTATTCACCTGTAGAGTCTTCTTAATGTGAGTGATGAAGTGGTGAAGTTTCATGGTGATATCTATGAGGTCATGTTGTGACCCTATTCACCTGTAGAGTCTTCTTAATGTG